TGTACTTTAATACGTAACGACAAGCTGTAACGACAAGTGTGCTGTGTGAAATATGTATTTAAATTCTTTCTTCTAATACTCGTATATTTTTGTTCGGTTGTTAAGTGACAGGTTATTAGTGATCCTCCTTTCTCATAATTTTAGTAAACAGAAAAAACACAAAGGCCGTGCATCTCTGACGTTTTAGAAAAGATTTGCCTTAATCGTCACTTTAAGTCGGCTCAATCGGGGAACGACCACACTCTCAGAGAATACCAGCGTAAAATAGCAGTTTAATGCTGCTGTGTTTCATATGGTGAGTGTAGAGAACCGGAAACCCGTTTTACTGGAATCGAGGCATTCCATCTTACTCCTCAGGGGTGACAACGCATTTGCATTTTGATTGCTAATCGAGGATAAATGTAGATGTCTAAAGGCCACAGCATCCACTTAACATCAGGTGGACTGTGTGCTCGTTTGTCACCCTTATTATATAAAAATGATTAACTGTTAGAGTTTTAGCTTCGTGCTTTTTTTTTAATTATAGTTACACTTCAAACCGGAGCGTCGGTGCTGACTGGAAGTCTGCAGTATGTCAACGTCATTCCTTATCATCGTTCGTCGTCATTCTATATCGTTATTCCTACCAAAGATGATTCCCGAGGCTATTGAAATTAAAAAAAATCATCCTAATTTCAATATAGAGATAGCTGGGTGCAAACATCTACTTGGATCCCATCTATACGTTTATACAAATAAATAAATTGTAATGTCTGTTTGTAATGTCAAAATAACAGTTTTTACAAAATCGTTTGAATGAATCTTATGAAAATATATACGGTACTTATATATATCAAATTTTTTTTTAGTTGTGTGTGTCTGTTTCCGACTAACCCGAAATGGCTGGACCAATTTCGACGGGACTTTCACTGCCAAATAATATATATGTTATAAGGAATAACTAAGGTTAACCTTATTTTGAAAAAAAATGATTAGAGTTCCACGCAAAACATTAAATCCCATGAAATCCACTAATTATAATAAATACCACGCGCGCGAAGTCGCGGGGATCCTGCTAGTAATTAAGACGACACCGCGAAAAAATGCACCTCCTTTCATCGAATAGTATAGGACTATGACACCACTAACGAAAGTGGAATTTTGATATAGGTAAATTTATTATTTTATCTTGAATTTGATTGATCAAAAACACTATTGTATAATTTTGACTCGATCATAATTATTTGCGAAAACACCTCTAAAAATCACTATTGCTGAAATTACAACGTAATTACTTAATCTATATGCTTAGGAATCACTCAAATATATTCATAACAGCAATATTCATAATTTACTTGCTCATTATTTTGATTACTTAAATCAATAATTTAAAAAAAATATTTTAAGATTCTGAAAATTTCTAAGCGGTTTTATTAGTCACGGGCGCTACGCAATTTTAGAATTTATGACGGCGTTTTTTCAAGTTTTTATAGGAATTGTGTATTCACTCGGATCAGTACGGCGATTGCCTGGAGCCACTTTTTTTTCTCTTTATTAGGATTACCAGCGATTGATACATTATTACATCGTTAATTAAAATTTAACAAACATCTCATAAATAATTTGAAACAAAGACGAATTGAAATGAAGCTTTTCGATGTGTCGTCTTAATAAAATAAACCCAAACCCAAACATATTACTGCAAGACTTCAAAATACTCTAAGTTCTTTCTGCGTAGATCGGACCAAAAATTAATAATTAATAGTTGAAGGTAGCCTTGTTTTAGTATGAGAGACTCTTGACCAGAAGTGCTGTAAATTGCCCTAAACGTCGAGGATTAAAAAAAATAAAATAAAAAGCAATAAAATATGTAAATTTAGTTTTCTTCCAACTATTTAATAGTTGAGCAGTTTATCGCTAGGCTTTGTAAATTGCATGTTCGACAGTTTGGATATCATTTAAAAAATAGGCATACGAAAATATCTCATAAATAATTTGAAACAAAGACGAATGAACGTAATTATATTTTATAACGCTCCTTACAAAAATATAACAAACTGAGACCGTCCTTGTCGCGTAGATAAGAATCAGTCGAGAATTTATACGGGGCTGATAAGGCAGGGCGGGGGCAGCGATAAGCCTCCGGCTCTGATAACGGCCCGCCCGCCCTGCAGATGTTATCTGTGATTAAATAGCTTACCTTATCAGTAACGAGACTGGAAAATCTTGATCACACAGGTTAACCGTTAATACAGAGAATTCAAATAATAACACTGTAAGTATTTCTTTCTTTTTTCATTATAGGAGAGGAGCAAGCGAACATACGGCTCACCTGATGGTAAGTGATTACCAGATGCGTTGTTACCTGTGAGGCATAAGATGGAATGCCTCGTTTCCAGTAAAAAGGGTCTCCGGTTCTCTACAGTCACTATACGTGACACAGCAGCATTAAGCTACTATTTTACGCCGGTATTCTGTGAGAAATAATTCAAAGGAACAATAGATATTCAGGTTACTTAGAGTAGATAGTATTTTGTATCCTAAAAGTCAGAGCTATTACGAATACAAATCAATACATGTATATATACACTAATTGCAAAATCGATATAATGAACGTGGTACACCAATTTCTCAAAAATTAAGCCGAAATGATCCAGTTGTAAATAAATATTGCAGATGATGCTCGCCACAATTCGTCTCTAAATCGTCAAGTATTCTTGTTGTCTCCGGTTCTCGATGGTCGTGTTAGTTCTTCAGATTTGCTTGCTCCTTTACCATAGTTATTATTTATAAGCTAGCTATTGACTGCCTCGTTGCTCTAGCGGTTGTAGTAGTGCGACTGCTGGTCATGAGGTCCTGGGTTCAAATCCCGGGTCGGGCCAAAAAATCAATTATTGAGTTTTTATGTCAAGAAACTCTCAGTAGCTGCCCGGAGTCAGGAAGTTGGCGGTGTCTCACCCCCATGCTTCGGAAAGCACGTAAAGCCGTTGGTCCTGCGCCTGATCTCCCTCCGGTCGTGTCGGTTTACTGTCCCATCGGATCATGTGCTACTGCATGTGCTTGTACACTTGGGCACTATAATCCTGTCCTGGGCCGTTGAGGCAGGCCGCCGTGGCTGAAATTCTGTCTGGAGGACATTATTATTATTCAGTGGGGTATCTATATAGTTTTCTTATCTGGTTGGGTTCTATAAATATATAATTATAAATGAAAATGAAAAGATAAACATAATTAACTTAATACACATAAATATAATTAAAATAAAATAAATATATAAATAAATAAAAGCCCAACCAGATGGAAGCCCTCGGCAGGGGAGACCAAACGGCCAAGGGTTAGGAGGAAAGGGAAAGAAACCAGCGGACGATGCGGGCGATATCGAGGAACACCGCCTTCTCCGCGTCATTTTCGAGCACGGCTTCCGGCAAGTACTTGTAATACGGCAATTTCCGGTCCACAAGACCGTATTTCAGAGCGAGTTCCTAGTGTAGAATTCTGGCTAGTAGGTTGTGCCTGTGCAAGTACTCAGAGTTAGAAAGCGCCGAACAACCGGAGATGACATGCCTAAGTGACTCCCCGGGATGGCGACAAGCTCAACAGACGCAAGTCGACAGTGCCATCCTTTAGGATGTATCTCCGATAGTTGTTGGTCTTAATAACCTGATCCTGTATTGCACAGACAAAACCCTCGGTTTCCCCGAAGAGGTCACCGAAACGTAGCAGCCAGTGGAGCGAGGCGGCTGTATCTACATGGGGCTCATGTAGAGCCCTGTAGTACCTCCCGTGGAGCTCCTTCTCCTTCCATACGGTCTCCCAGTCGGAAATGCTCTGTACTGCCGGGTCCTGCCATTGCTCGTTGGCTAAGGATAGAGGGGTAAGTCCTTTATCACTAGAAATGACGTCATTATAGAATGGATTATCCAATCTCGCCAGGAAGTAATGACGGAGACTGCACACTTCGCGATTATGCATGGTGAGCGCGCTCAAGAAGCCACGCCCTCATTACCGACGATCTCGGATGATGCATCCTATGGGATGTCATTGTAGTGCGGACTTTTCTATCCAGGGCATTTAGTTCAGTCTGACTCCACCTGAGTATGCCAAAGGTATACATGAGGACAGGCATGACCCAGCCGTTATATGCGTGTGTCTTATTCATACCGGACAAAAAGCTGTTAAGCACTTTGGTCAAGCGTGCACAAAACACGTCGCAAACTGACTGTTTCATACCAGACTCATCGATACCGATGTTCTGTGACATACCCAGTAATCGGTATGTTTTAGCCTCGGAAAGGGTCCTTAAGTTGACGAGCTAATATAGATAAGTCTATGTCCTCAAATTTAGCAACCCTTCCCCTTTCAACATGGAGGACCGCACACTTCTCCGTCCCTAGCTCCATTCTAATAGAATTGCTAAATTCACAAGTGATGTTTAGCAATTCCATAAGATGGGAGCGACTGGAGGCGAATAATTTGAGGTCATCCATATAGAAAAGGTGGTTCACTTTTGTACCTCCTTTCCGAAGCTGAAATCCCCTCCCGGAGCCCTCCAGTAAAGTACTGAGAGGGTTCAAAGAGAGGCAGAACCAGATTGGACTCAGACAGTCGCCCTGGAATATACCCCATCTTATCCTTATGCAGCTTTCCGCAGCCGTCATCCGCTCGTCTAGATAACAGAGGATCGTACTCCACCGCCCCATACACTGTTCGAGGAAGTCTCGAACTATACAGTCAATCTTGTACAGCTCGAGGATCCTCTTTAGCCATGTATGGGGCACCGAGTCAAATGCCTTTCTGTAGTCTATCCAGGCGGCGGAGAAGTTCCGACGGCCAATGAACGCGTCAATCACTAGTGGTTCCTTGGTTCCACGACCGCCGCCCCGACATCCATTTTGAGCGCGCGACATCACCTGATTTGAGTCCAGGTGACGAGTGATTCTCGCGCTCAAAATGGATGTCAGTTTCATGTATATGGTCGGTAGACACGTGATGGGGTGGTATTTGCACGGGTCTGTGGCACCCTAATCTTTAGGAACCAAATGAGTGATCCCAGTAGTGAAGAGGCTCGGGAGTGACTTCTGGTTGAGAGCCTCTTGAAACTGTCGGGCGAGCACAGCATGCCACACCATGAAACCCTTCAGCCAGTAGTGTTGCAGCCCGTCTAGCCCCGGACTTTTCCAGTTTGGGGCCCTACGGACCGCCTCAGCTACGTCATCCGGGGTTATGATGACGGGTCCATGGGCGTTATACCCGCACACTGACTCGCCACAACTTCCGTTCAAGGGCCCTCGTTGCGGTTTACGGGCTCTGACCACAGGCTGCGCCAGAATGCGGCCGTGTCGGCCTGATTCGGTACTGGGCCCGTTCCACTTACCATTGGTCGCTACAATGATTTATAGAGTTGATCACTCGGAGAGACGATTCTAGTTGAACCGTGTCTACCTCTCGGTATATCGCCGAATCCGCTTTCCCCAAGCAGCGATTGTTCCATCAACGTTTGAATCAACCACAACTGGGGTATTCATGGCGGCATCCACCTTCGCCGTTTGCTCTGCAGGTTGTGGCGCCGCATCCTCAGCCGTCGCATTTTCACCCGATGAAGGAACAGCCTGACGTCGTAGCCGTTCGAGTTCGGCAACATCAAATATATTTGAGCGCAAGATATACCGAACTCGGTCTGCCAGGTTTTGCTCAGTTACGGTTATAGATGGCTCCAGCTCAGCGAAAATACGGATGCATCCTAGCCCGATATGTCAAACCTCCAACTTCTCCCCCTTTGCCCTAAAATACGCCCGCAGTGCGTTGGTATTCATTTTGATTGTCCATCGCATGCGGTGTACTCCACCAGTGGCGGGTGCGAATTGCTGGGCCCGCGAAGACCCTGCCGACACCAAATCAGATGGTAGGGATGATGGATGCGAGGAGCTGATGGGTGATCGTGCAGCACCTCTCGCTCGGCTGGCGGTTCGCATGCTGTCGCGTCCAGCGCCAGCTCCAGACGCGCCCTGGCAACCTCCAGGCAGCGGCCCTGGAGGTCGCCAGGGCGACCATTATTATTATTATTATTAAACTAGCTATTGCTTCAAAGATTGTTAACGGTCAAACTAGCTATGATCTCCACTCCACAAAATACTCCAAATAAAACGCTTTGTTCGGTCACCACGTAATAATAAATCATCGCCACTTAGAAATCCATGAAGTGAAGATTATTATACTATCGAGACCAATGCATAAACATACAAAACTAGCTGCTTCGTTGAGACATACTACGGCTGGACTCCTAAGACAAAAGATCGTTTAAAGAAGAACCTATGTCGCTTCTCATCTGATAACTTTTGACATCGCATGGGAACTCACCATTCATTTTCCAAAAAAAAAAAAAAAAAACGTTTGATTTTTTGCAGCTCATCACACGCTGAAGAAATATTTAGATTTGTATCGTCCATATACCTATTTGCTGATTTTATTGTTTTGTCTATGTACTTATTTGAAAAATATTTACAGAAATGACGCATAATTTCTGTGGACATTAGAGTTTTATTCTTTGTTTGTTTGTGATTATTACTATGAATACGATTTAATGTTGATGTTAAGTGTGCATATTATCTCGCTCAGAATTACACAAGATAACGTCAGAATTGTCATTATTTTTTAGATAGATAAGAATTCATTATTTCTGTCAACATTTAGATCATTTGTGTTCAGTTATAATTTTGATGATTATTTATTACTTCTCTATTGGCCAGCAACCTTTGATATCCATTTAAATCTCACTGATTTATATCAGATACAATAAAACTGCATACAATAAAACTGTATTTTTTACGAAACATTCGTACGTTTAGCAAAATTACCCATGTATTACGCTTGCAACGGCACTCTCATATGCCGCGCTGTATAACCTCATTATTGGACTGTATCAAATTACATCAAGTGTGCGAATTTGTCCCCATGTATAAATTAATATAATATAAATACGCAAATCCGTTAATGTGCCTCTGAAATATTTATGACCTGTACATAAAATATGAATACGCAGCGTTGTCGGTACGAATCCGTCAAACAGATGAGATAAGGAGGACGTGAACTTTTGCTGTGTTTGTACGGAACCCTCCCCTCTTCCTAATATTACCACCCCTCTTGCTCTATCATTTATAATTTTAAGTCAGAACAAATGCGTGCGTTTTGAAAATGTGTTTAGTGCGATAAACATTATCACTATTATGGACAAAAGTAAAGTCAAATTAAACATAAGAATGACTTTCAACAAGTATTATTTATAATCTACATTAAATAAAATCTCTATTATTATTTAAATGTTTAATATATCGTAATTTTAAGTACGGATTTACCACGTGCTCGGCGATTAAAAACATCATGAGTATGACAGAAATAAAATAAAAATATTTCGAAGACATGTAAAGTTCGCCAACACGTATTGGGGTAGCGCGGTGGATATTTCCTTGTCATAAAACCCTCTCAAAAAAGAGAGGAGGCCTGTGCTCAAGAGTACGACGTATATTGGCTGAAACTTTAACTTATATAGATGCAAGTTTGTCATATGAGCACACAGTCCATCCACCTGATAGTAAGTGGATGCTGATGGACAAATGCTAGAGCCTCCTAGAAATAAAGGTAAGTAAATGCTACGGCCTTACATCTATCAACGATTATGAATCGAAATGCAGATGCCTTGTCATCCCTGAGCGCTAAGATGGACCGTTTCATTACTATTTAAATGGTCTCCGATTGCTTGCCGAGAGAGCTGACCACAAAAATATAGACACACTAGGGCCCGGTTTACATTTTGAGAAGTGACAATTGCGAGTGGCAAGTGAAACTGACAAATGACAATTGCTTAGTGCGAATTTTATTCATACTTATCACATGTCACAGCCTGTTGACATTTTACGATAAAGTTAATATTTCAAAAAAAAAAAGAAGATAAAGGTATTATTTTCGGAGTTACGAATTTTTAAAAGTTTGAAAAATCGCAATTATTTTAATTAGGATAATTTTGACTCATTAAAAACATTAAAAGAAATGTATAAAAAAGATTGTTTTCATCCTCGCTTAAGTATGTTTATTATCTATTATGTAAATAATATCTTTTATGTTTTTTATATTATGTACATATTTAATGAGTCAAAAGTATCAGAATTTGGGACCTTTCAAACTTTTCATAACTCCGATAATATTAACGTTATCGTAAAAAGTCATAGGACCTTCTTATTCGTATTTCAAAAATAGTGTTCCGTATGAAAATAAAAATTCCATAAGAGTTGCCCCATGGCAACATTCATTCATATCATCAGTTAAATTGTCCTAATACGAAGAGAGTCGCGTAAAAATTGAGGTGAAATAGTTTTCGGTACTCATGCGCCGATTCATCCTGGACTTTATATCATTCAACATTTATTATTGTTTTATTATCCATAATTAAACATTATAACACTTCCAAATTTAAAACGATACTTCCGCAAGTATTTCTTCTGCAGCTGCTACGCGCCGGGTAGCAGCTAGTACTTGATAAAATATATGTCATTCATAAAACACTCATGTCTGTCACCTAAAGAGGTAGGCAGAGACTACAGACTTCCATTTGACACGACTCTTACACACCTCTTTCGACTTCTACCTACGCATATATGTTCTTCGGTTAGGCCCATTTTCATATCGTCAATCTTGTCGATCGATTTTCGCCTAGGACGTCTCTTTCCGACTTTTCTTTTAAATTTGCTTTGTCAGTCTTTCCTCATTCATTATTTCTACGTGACCAAACCACCGAAGCATTCCTTTCCTAATCCCGGCCAGAACATCTTCTTGCAAATCACACTCTTCTCTTACCACAAAATTCCTCTTAACGAACGAATTTTTCTTAACGTCCGCGTTACTACTGAGTTTATTGTTTATTGAAGCACCCTCGACTCTCGTGCTTCTTCTGCCACACCCAACTTTCACTACCATACGCCGTGCCATCCTTTATATTGAAAACCTCAAATTAGCAAAATGAGGTTTATTAATGAATGATTTCGTAATGAATGGCAACTACTACTTCTTGACATATCGAATTATCAAATCTTCAATATTATTATATATTATTATTATGTGCTCATGTCCTACAATGAATTGCTAACGGATTAATAAGTAGTCTATTGACTAATAAGTGAATCTAGCACTTATTTCATTAAGTAAATCAAAAACGCCATTACTACACATTCTGATGAAAATACAGTTCTACATGTCTTTGTGTTGTAAATGCGTAATTCATTACTATTCAAATTTAAACAAAGCGATAAATCCTTTTTAGCGGGACTTTACTCACGGGAATTAAAGCAGCTGCAATTGCACGAGTATGTGCAGAACGATCGCTCCCGATAACCTACTTACCTGTAAAGAAAAAAAAGTAAAATTAAATAACATTATAATATCATTACGGCGGCCACGAGTCATGACCTCGAATGACTGCAATTTTTGACCTATATATTGGGGGATCAAGATTGGAGCGAAAAGTGGTAAATGAATCAATGTTGTGAAAAATATTTTATTCCTTGTTTTTAAAAATTACTATTCCCAAACCCATCTTTTTAAAAATTTCTCCTGTATCGTGGCACCTCTAAGATTATTTTACAAACATAAATTTAAGATGGATATCTAGCCGGAACAATTATATTTAGTCCATACAAATAGGTATTCCGTAAGAGATTTGAACCCGCAATCTTACAACTTTGCAAATATATATATATTAGACACGCTAATGTCTCTACATACATTAGTTTATCGTTTGGTGGCTCGTCGTGGGCTAAACGATCACTGTAAATTTGACAGTATGCGAAAAACTCCATATATATTGTCAATTGCAATATTAAATGCTAATTTACTAAACGCTTGACGATGAAGGAAAATATCATGGGGAAACCTGCATGTCTGAGGAATGAAATATTTCGAAGATAGGTGAAGTCTGCCAACACGCACTGGAATAGTGTTCCGCCAAATTATTGATCTATAACTCTTATAAGCTTTGTCCAACCACAGGACGTATACGAGTAGGCTGTAGTATATTTCCTTCCTGTACCTACCCTCCCTACAGGGATTATCTCTTGAAAGCACTTTATATGCACATAAATTGCACTATGACAAAATTTCGTACTCGGAACAATTACTTGCCATACAAATACTCGTTCCACGCGGGATTCGAACCCGTGACTCTCTTCGTCACACTTCATTGCTAAGCCACTCCGTCACGGAGCCGTCAAAGCTATACTTTTACTTAAATAGTTTAATAGAAATATATAAAAAGTTTAGCTGTAATATTGAATTAAAAAAAAATAAAGAATTAAGTTGGTCAGTCGCTAATTCTTATAACATCGCCCACACGAGCCC